ATTCAAAACAATCATTCAAATCCATATAACAACTTTTTTTCAATAAAAAAATTACATCTTTTTAGTAAATACTAAGTCATTAAAATAAATTTGCATCCAAATAAATGACATGTAATTCGTTAAACTTATTAGAAATGTGCTATAGTATAAATTCTTAAAGCGTAACAGCACGACTGAGATATATATATATATATATATATATATACAATAAATCGAAAGAGGAGTCGTGGTGGCTCAAGGGATACAGCATTCCAGTTTCCAGTGAACCATGATCGAATCTCAGCATCAGCAGTGGATGGTTGATAAGAATTCTGCATCCAGCTCGCATCGACCATAGTGCAGACGTAAAAATATCAGATCATGACGACAGATCATGAATTAAAATCTCCTTGTCATCGGGCTATCCATGAGAGATTTTCATTGTCCACTCCATGCAACGCAAATTCAGGTTAATTTCATCAAAAAATCCTCCTCGAAGGCTACTTTGTTCCTATGCTTAATCCAGGAATTCCCTTGTTTTTTTGGGTTGGGTTTAAAATTACAAGCTTACGGAGTCGAACATTGAGAGTCATAAACTCAGAATCGGGACAACTGTTTAATGTCGGTTATAAAATAAAATAAAAGGAATGAATTTTTTCATTGTTTTATCATTAAAAATCTTAAATTAGGTTTTATGTCCTACAATTAAATTCGCTGTCCTGGAGCTTTGTCTTTAGTACTGAATTTGTTTTTGGTATGTATGCATAAACTGAAAACAAATAAAATGTGCCGAATTATGGTTTTCTTTGAAATTAAAACTAAAAAGAAACTGCTATATATTTAAAAATGGTTATTTGAGAAACAAATTCTTTATTTTCAAATGTAGTTAAGTTAGTTTGATTTGAAAATCCCAGTGGGAAATACGAATGCATTTTTTTTAATGCATGTATTTCTCTTTATTTATTCAAAACACTAGTATTAAAAAAACTATGTATATTTCTTTTTATAAAAAGGAAAGTTTTTTGTTATTTCAATTTGAATAATTTCATAAAATATTAAATTAATATTAAATTATATTAAAATTAAATTAATATATAATTATGAAATATTAAATTAATATTGGCTTATTGATTAGATTAAAAAAACTCCAAAATGATTGTTGATAGAAGAAAGTTCTAACTCTCTAAACCCCTTTTAACTTTTCCTCGAAACCCATCAGGGTTCCATGGAACACCATTTGGAAACCGCTGCTGTAGTTTTTTTTTAACAGTTAGACTTCTGGAATGTCATCTTCATTGCAAAATGTGAAATCTTAAATATTTAGCATTTTCATTTATACTTTACTTTTTTTTTAAATTTATTTAATCCAGAAACGTATTTTGAATTTAATTTTTAGTATTATAAGAAATTTTGAATTTTTTTTATTGAAATTTTACACTGACATTAACCGTCATTGCCTTAATTAAAAAGATGTTTTTAAATTTCAGCTTCACTTTTTGAAAAGTCTGATCTAAGTAATGTAAATGTTAAATGTAAATAATTATTATAAGCAAATATTTGTTAAATACGAATAGTTTATAAAGGTATATGTTTTTTACTATTGCAGTTCATTTTATTTTTTATTTATTTATTTACTTTATTTATTTTCTTTTCTTCTGTTAAATTAAAAATTTTGTTAAATGTAAATGTTTGTTAAATATTTGTTAACTGCAAACACAGCACACGCAGTCTGCCAAAAATTTGATCTAATTGGTCTAATACGCCATTTTGTCATGTAAATTTTAAAATGGCGGCTATAGGCTGAATTAATAATCAGAAAATGTCTTCGAAGCTGGAGCGCCGTTGTTTGGGTCAAATTTTAGCCCAAATAATGTGAATGCTTGTTAAATGTAAACGTTTGTTAAAGTTAAATGCTTGCTAACGTTAAATGTTTGCGAAGGTTAAATATTTGTTATTGTTTAATGCTCACTAATGCTAAGTATTTGTTAATACTAAAGGTTTGTTAAATGTAGATATTTTTAATGTTAAGTGTTAATGTTAAATGCGTGTTCGTTAAATGTAAATGCTTGTTGAATATAAATGCTAATATATGCTAATAATGTTGATGCTAATAATGTTGAATATAAATGCATCTTTGTTAAACATATGGTTTCTTCTAAAAAGATAATTCAATTTGCTTTGTTCCCAAACCACCATATTTTCCATGCTTACTGAGAATCACTACATCTGAAATACCATAAATAAATTAACAATGCGAGATAAAACTTCCTTTTTAATGAAAAAAATATATTAATAAAATTCTAATATCTTTCTCAATTCATATGCCTCAATTATAGTTAATCGAATTCTTCGAAAAGCTTGTCTGTTACAAGAAATTGGTTTGTTATGAATCGATTAATAGTGGTCATCTTATCTCAGCCATGGAAGTTGGAATTTCACGAACATGTAAGTTTCCCGTCAAAATTAATCGATACTGGTCTATTATTAAACGAAGCACACTTTAATCATCCAATGAGTTCAAGTTTAAGGTGAATTTCTTGACCTTGAGAAATCTTTCAGTTTATTATATCCTTAAAAAAAATCTGAAAGTGAGCGGAAAATAGTGAGTTCTGGAAATATTCTTCACACAGTACTACAAAATTTGTTTCAATCTGCAAAGATACTTTTGCTTCATTTTGTGCTTTCTTTCCTTTCATATAAAAATGCTTCATAAATATTTCACCAATATTTCGCTCATTATGAATATATAATATTGCTCATTATGAATATATAATATATTTCGCTCATTTGAGCATAAATTCTCTAATTTTAATTAATCAACGTCTGGATATGGACTTGTTCCTTCGTATCAAAGCCATGTTTACTTCATGTAGTTCAGATTTGTGTTGAGCATAAATTCTCTAATTCCAATTAATCAACTAATTCAGCGGGTCCATTCGGTTCACAGCGGGTGCCATTTAATCATTTCGGAATCTCTTTAACACTTACTAGGTTTTGTTTAGAAAAAATATAACTGGGCAATGTCCAATTCTTTATGCTTATCTTAGCCACATTAAATTATGCACACAAAAAAACCCTTAATGGCTGGCACTTGGGATGTATTGTCCCATTGGCCAGGAGTGCCAGAACTGCTACTCTCTTCTCGTTACCCAGTGGGCAACAGTGGAGTAGCGTCTCCCACGTCACACAACCACAAACCCGTTTATAGGGCGAGTCACATTCACACAATCACACAAAGGAGAAAGGACGTAGAACACAGAGAGAAAGAAACATCCATGCCCTGAGCGGGATTCGAACCCGCAACCATCGACTCTGCAGTCAAGCACGCTAACCACTCGGCATCTGGTCGGCTTAGCGCAAAGGATAGAGTTGCTTAAATTTTCAATGTTTTCTAAATACTGAACCGTCATAAATGACGCCCGGTGACTGAGTGGTAGCGCTTCGCGTTCCCGTGCCACAGGTCCTGGGTTCGATCTCGGGCCGGGCAAGGTTGACTCAGCCTTTCATCCTTTCAGTGGGTCGATAAATGAGTACCAAGCATGCTTGGGAACTAAACACTGGGCTTTTCGCGTTCGGCTGACCACCTAACCGGAACATCTGCTCCTGCACCACAGAGCCCAAGGTCAAGCAAACTGAGATGGGCAGAGTAGGCCTTGGCCCTCTATGGGCTGTCGTGCCACTGAGTTTAGTAGTTTTTTTTAGAACCGTCATAAATATTGAGTTTAGGAAAAATTAAAAAATATAATTTGATAATGTCGGTAAAAAAATTCGGAAATTAAATAAATAAACAATATTATTTTCAAAACTTATATAATAAATGGTACATGAATTGAAAAATTCTCTTTTTGTCCGATGTAATTGTTGCTTAAAATTAGAGTTAATGCAGTATATTTTAAAATTTTAATGACAACGTTTCCTTTTTTTTTCAGTGGCTGGTTTTCCAAGAAACAGAGGTGACATCGAAGAATATCGCAGTAGGAGAGTTCGAATGGATGGTGTCGTCTTGGTTGATTTCGAAGAAGATGCCTTAAGAAGATTCCTTAAGCATGAAGTGTCCATCGGAACACTCAGAATTGGTGACATAGAAAACGAGTTAGAAAAATATAAACAAGATATAATATCTGTCGCGGAATATTACGACGAGAAAGAGTTACTAACTGTTGTCGTGGGTGACCAAGATGTGGAAGAAATGGTTGAAGACATCATAATAGCAGTTGAGAAGGTAATTGAAAAACGAAAAGATATACTTGATGACGACAATGATGTTTCATCACATGAAAGAAGTCATGAATGTGAATTGGATGGACCTTGCAAAGCTCTTCTACCATCCCCAGAAGCAGAAGAAAGACCTTCAACTGTTGAAATCAGAGATGCCACTGAAGAAGATATAAAAGCAATAGAGGCCGAGACAAGAAACAGCGCCAAAAATACAGCCAATGATGACGTTCAAACTTTAATGGAAGATACATCGAATGCTACTGAGGGCAACGAAAGCTCTAAGGCATCAAACAATAATTCAGATCAGACTAACTTGCCCAACGAAATTGAGATAAGTTCCCCTGAAGAAAATGTTTCCACCACAAGATCAAAAAGGGATCTAAATCAAAGAGTACCCCTTCTATTTGCATTTGAGAATATAAGTACCGACTCAGAGAGCCTGAAAGATTTCATTGTAAGCGAAAAGGGTATGTGCTTTATAGATTTTAATGAGTTAGTAAGAAATGACGACGAAAGCAGTGAGCGTTTCAACACCAGTGACTCGATTAATATATTGAAAAAAGTTCTAAAGAAAGATTCAGTCTCTTACTCAAACGGTTTCTTCATTTCGAATTTTCCCTTTTTCCTGTTAAAAGAAAACAAAATCGAAGACATTTTTAAACTCGGAGAGGCAACCTTTATATGTAAAATAAAAGAAAAAAGAGATGAAAAAGATTCAGATGAAATTTCACAAGAAGACTTGTTGTTTAAATCACCATTAAGCGATAGCATTAAAATAATTTTTGTCACTGAAAGTAATCTCATGGAGGAACTACAATCTTTCCTACAAGAATTGGCAATTAACAAAACTGACGAATCCTCGAATGAACTCCCCGCAAATTTGAAATCTGATCAAAATTCTGATTCTCAAGAGACGAATTTAGGTATAAACCAAAATGCATCACTTGAAAGGTCTGGTGATAATGAACCTACTGAACCAAAGAGTGAACTTGTTGAGACAAACAAAGAAGTAGAACCTCAACTGCAAAGTACTAAAGAAGTACTTGATCCAAATTTTGGGCTCGAGGAAATAAATCAAAATTCAGATAAGGAAACAACAAGCAGAGATGATAATGAAGATAGTACTTGCAAAGACGTTGAAGATTTAATAACTGATGATACCCTTTTAGACGGAGCCAAATCATCCGACATATTAGAAAATGAAGATGTTAACAAACAAGAAAATTCAAAAAATACTCTTTCTGAAACGTCCATGGAGAGAAGCTCTTCGGCCGAAACATTAAGAGAGAAGGCTGTCCTTGCCAGGCAGGATCACCTAGAGATTGACTCAGAGAGTATCTCTAATGCATCAGATAATCATATAAAAGACGAAACAGGTGCAAACAATGAAAACGACACTGATTTGAATTCAAGAAATAAGCTGACACGACAAGCTACTTTTTCATCTGGCCAAGAACCACCAACGTTATCTAACGATGCACAACTGCCAGAAGTAGTAATGCAAGTTATGAAAAATAATTTGGCTAGTACACAAATAAGTAATGCTTCAGAATCTGAAAAATCTAAAGAAGGTGAAAATGACAATAAATCTGAAACAGCAGAAAAGAATCCAGATAGTGATAATGGTGATAATCTTGAGACTGGGGAAAATATTTCAAATAATAAAGAGGATTCACTTTTAGAACTACCTGATGCTGTAAGTGACACAGATAAAAGTTGTCCTAAATCTGAAGAACCATTGAATGATGAGAACTCAAGTGCAAATCTTCATGAAAAAGAAGAAGAGGCAAAAGAAGATAATACAAAGAACTCGGTGGACACTTCTGAAGAAATGGTGAAAGCTAGCACAAATGAGGAAAATATGTCAGATGCTGCCAACGAACAAAATGAATCTGCATCAATGAAAGAAACAGATGATAATGAAAATGAACCACATGAGGAGAACGTTGCTAATGGCTCAGACAATGATGAATCATCTCAAGTTAGCAATCTTTCAGATAAAACAAGTGAGAACCAAGCTAAATCAGAGGAACAAAATAAAAATGAAACAAGTGTCTCGAATGATAACGCCAATTCGGATAATATTCAAGAATCGGAGGATAGGCTTAAAGATAAAAACGACGATGGTACAACTGTACTTGCCGATGAAACGGGAAAACCTGATGAAGATTCGATCGAAAAAGAAAAATTAGAGAAGGAAGTTATGTCTGAAATAATAAATGTCTGGCCAAAACTTGATGCAAATAAAATCAAAGAAGAAAATTCAATCGCTGCAAATACTAATAATAATGAAGAAAGGTTGGACAAAGATGAAGAATTTAAAAATATGCCAGAAGAAGGTATTAAAGATGATACTAGTCTAAATTCTACGACAGAGAGCGAAAAGAAAAGTGTTGAAAACTCAGAAGTAAAAAATGACGCAGAAGATAATTCAGATGAAGAGAACAACGACGAAATAAAGCCTGATTCTGATACTAATGGTAATGAAAATTCGGTTAAAGAACATGATAATGAACTACAATCAGAAACTGAAAACGACAAGGAAAAAACTTCTTTAGAAAACAAAGACGATGAAACAGAAAATGAGAAACAAAATGATGATGAACTGCAATCTAAAGCAGACAGTGACACGAAGGAAAATTCTGAGAATGAAAATGGCGAGGAACCGAAAACTGAATCTGAAAATGCTAACGAACAAAAGTCAGAGGAAGAAAACTCGTCTGCCAACGTAAGTGAAACTGAATTAGCCGAAAATGCTACGGAAGATGATAAAGTAGAGGAAAATGATGCTAAAGGAAATCACTCAGATAGCACGAAAAACGAAGATGAAGCTCCAAATCAAGACTCTCAAAAAGATGAATCAAATGAAGAAAATTCTGAGACTGAAGATCATAAAGAGAATGTTGATGGAAATTCGAATAAAGCAAATGAAAACGATGAAACTAACGATGAAAATAAAGTTGAACCAGAAGAAACTGAAGATACATTGGCAAACTCGTCTGAAAAATCTGAAAATTTAAAAAAATCAACAACTTCTGAACATCAAGCATTATCTGGCAATATGCAATTACCAGAAGTAGTAATGCAGGCTATGAAAAATAATTCCAGCAAAGCAAATGAAAACAAAGAAACGAACGATGAAGATAAAGTTGAACCAGAAGAAACTGAAGATACATTGGCAAACTCGTCTGAAAAATCTGAAAATTTAGAAAAATCAACAAACTCTGATCATCAAGCATTATCTGGCAATTCGCAATTACCAGAAGTAGTAATGCAGGTTATGAAAAATAATTCCATTAATGAACAATTATCAGAAACAAAAGAAAATGGAATCGTAAATGCAACAACAATTTATAAATCTGTCGACAATGATTCCGATTCAAATGACGAAAAGTCTATAACTATTGAAACAAAAGCTGAAGTTCATGCTGCTGATAGTCAATCTCCCTCTTTAGATCAACATTCTGAGGCTAATGAAAAGAAAAACCAGGTGAACAGCTCTGAAAATGAAGAAGAACGTGATACCACGAATCAAACAGATCTGGAAGAAGCCATTGAAAAAGAAAATGGTAATGAACATGAAGCAATCAGTAATGCTGATACTGCAGAACTATCGGCCACAACAGCTTTGGAAGAATTAAATAATCTGAATAATGAAAGATATAGTGGTAAATACCAAGAGAGAAATGGTAGTGGCATTTTGGGTAATAACAGGCCAGAAGATAACCCAGATGCCGAGGAACCTCAAGAGAGGAGTTCCAGCAGTTCGCGTGGTGAATTATGAACAGTTTAGTGTTCTGGAATGTATGAACTGTTTTTTGTACACTGATTTAAACAAAGATTAAAATGGAAGAAAACAGGAATCTGAGTTTTGAGAGACGTGCCAAATTTGAATTCGAGGTTTAAATCAAGACTTCAGATATTCTGTTAACAAAGTGATAATGCTGATTAAAATCTGTTCAAAGTCAATAACTGCTTTCGCTTGATGAAATTTAATGACTTTATCAGAACAAGAGGTGTTTTCATGACAGCCAATGAGCTAGGACAATTAAAATCAGTTTTAAAACTGATTACCATTAAAAATTGTTTTTTTTTAAAGAAAAATGCTTGTCTAAACAATCTATAAGTGTATTTATTCCTGTGTGCATAGTGTAATTAATTAAAATAAAATTGTTTATACTAATGAAACCTTATTTATGTACTCTATAGCCTCTTAACTTAAAATTTATGAAAAAAATATTAGAATTATCACTTATTTTATAAGTATTTGTAAAATAATAATAGCTACAGTTTCCGATAAAAAAAAAATTTTTTAAATCTTATGCGAGGAAAAAATTCAAGTGACACTTTCGAATTTTAAATATCTTCCATAAAGATCAAAAATTTTAAATTCAAAATCAATGACAGTACATCTAAAATAATAATATAATATACAGTACACTGAAAAAAAACTTTAAAACCAGTAAATCTTTCCTTTGCAGCTAAGTATAAAAATTATCAACATCATGAAAAACGCGTATATTTTAAAAATATCAAGATAAAGTAAAAATACACAGCTATTATCTTTTTTAAATATATGAATCATAAACTCTTAAAGCTTGTTAGGCGTAATCCAGATTATATATATANAGTAAATTCTTGCGTTTTGACATCCCAAAGATCCAAGAACAGCAAATATATATATATATATATATATATATTGGCACTTTAAATGAAAATTACTTTTATGTAACAGAAGCATGCAGGCCGAATCAATGGAAATTATTTTAAGTAAAAATAAGAAAAAAAATCTTGATGTCGTTTACATAATTCTGTAATTGTACGCCTTATAAATTTATTAACGGTAATTTTTCATTGCTTTTATTTAAAATATTTTCTATGACAGCAGTTATTTTAACTTCCTGCAAAATTTCACAGGACAGAACATAAGTTATTGAGAGTAATAACAAAATATGTTAAGAAAGACTAAAAAAAAAAAAAAAAAANAAAAAAAAAAAAAAAAAAAAAAAAAAAAAAAAAAAAAATGAAAGACAATTAGACAATACACCTTTGACATGACACCCCCAAATCTGGAGATTTATCCCAGTTTCTACACAAATAAAAAAAAAAGGAGTATTTCAGAATTAAAGAAAAAAATAATTGTTTAAACAGATGGAAAAAAAAGTTTGTAAAAAGCGGATCAAATATTCCAAAGCTTTCTCTACACGGCCAAAAAATGTGTTAACGTCAGTGTTTACTTCTGCTGCCTCCATCTCTAATTTCGAACAAAACAAAACAAAAAAATATTTTTAGTTCATAAATCATAGTTTCCATAGCAATAAAAAGTTTTTACCACGACGATTATCCACTTCTCGCGTAACAGGAAATATGTCTTTTCCAAAAATAAAGGAGGGCGAAGACAAAATATAATTGGAAGAAGTATGGGACGATGACAGTTTAAAAGCATGACGAATTATTAATGGACACACTGATGACAGGCATTGCTTTTACTAGGATTGCTCTGACCATGATTCATGAATGGAGTTAGTTATAACTATTAGAGAATAAAAAGATATGGAGGTGGAAGAATAAAATATATTAGTTAACTTTCCTGTTTTCTACGCACTTTGGTCATCTTTCTACATTAACTTCTTAAAGTAGTTAACATTTTCTCATAAATTTCAGTTTCATTTTAATTTAAGGAAATCATAAATAAGTAGGTATTTTTTAACGACTTTTCAATTGCTCCCGGCTAACTGAAAAGTACTCTAAAAGTAATGTTTCTTTATTATTATTCTATTACATAGTATTTTATGATAAGCTTCATTGAATCGACATCTAAACTTAGGAGCCGTTCAAAAAGTACGTACAGAAAAATGGAGAAATTTTAACCCCCTCCCCCCTTCGTACATTACCGTACATAAGGTCTTACTCCCCCCCCCTTAGAGTACGCACATTTTATTAGTCTACCCCCCTTTTTCATAAAAATTAAAATAATTATGTTTTAAATAAAATTAAATATTTATTTAAAATAATTTATTCATTTAAATTATTTAAACAATAACACCCAACTTTATCTTTGAATCAATAAATAAAACAATCTTATCTAATCAACATAATAATTTCCTACATAATAATCTAATAATTTCCTAATACCATTGACCCTTTTAAAATTATTAAACAATAAAATAATTTTATTTTTATTATAAGATACTATTATGATTATTATAAAATATTATTAGGAATTAACTTTAATCACTCTTTAAAAAAAATTGTACGTGAAGTTATGGTAACCCAAAAAACTGATTAGATTCAAATTTTATTCCAATAGAATCGGGAGCTAAGTTTGAAATACCATATCTGGATATATTTTCTTTACATAATTTATTTATATATATTCTCTGCCCATATATTTTACCCTGATTTGCCTCTAGACCAGTGTGATTTTTCTTGTTATGTTTCTCATCTTTTTTCTCCCTCGGCTTGTGTGGTTTTTCTAGTTTTGTTCTCACTTTTATTTTTCCACTTTTCGTTGGCAACTTGACATCTTTTATTTCAAATCATTTTTGTTTTCTTTGCCTTCACGTCTGGCAAGTCTTTAAAATGGGTGCCTATTTTCGTAACGCTTGTTGACTGTTATTTTATATTTGTTTATTTCTGAAGCGAATGAATTTTCCAATCAGGTGATATCTTACCACTTCAGCTTCTTGGGACTATTTATTGAATACCATATCTACGTTAATACATTTTTTTTATAACCATCGTTGAACAGCTGACCCAATTTTGGATTTACGACTACTAATGTTCAACTCCATAGCCTTGTGATTTTGAACCGATCCAGAAGACAAGGAAACTCCTGGATCAGTACCCCCAGAGGTTTGATTTGTTATGGGAACATGGAGGACTTTGAGACTCGACAGATTTAATATGCATCAGTCACCATTTACTACACGGGGAGTCTTCGGCCTGCGAGGATCGAACCCACGACCTCTTGGACATGTGCCCAGTGTCCTATCAACCAGGCTATCCCGGTCCTATGTTAATACATTTTGAAATTTTTCAGTTGAACACATTAATTAAGGTACAACAAACTGTTCTTCAACAACAACAAAAAAAAAAAAAAAGTTGCAGCAATTATAAGGTTTGGTGAGCGAAGAAAATAGAGAGTAAAATCCCCTAGTATATAATTAATTAAATAAAATATTTCTTTGAATCTTCCAATACAAATCTGTTTTTCCCTACCGATTCATATTAAATTAGATACACATATAGTTTGCCTATAGAAAGAACTCCCCTCGCAACAAAGTCTAAGGCCGTCTGTTGCTGTAGAAAAAAGAAATAGCTGATTTCAAAGAAGGGAGCTTCCCCCTCCACTGATTCCCTTTCTCTCGTCGATCCGAGCCACAATCGGTTTTAAATAATTCTAAAAATAAATCCTATAATTAAACAAACTTATGCTGATACAGATCCTCTATATTTCAAAATATCTAGAAAACTAAATCTACAAGAATCCAAAAACTTATGAAACTTTGGATTACCAGCCATTTTATATCGGCTTAAATTGTAAAAGCAGTTGTAAATTAATTTAAACTTATAACGCAAATATTTGTGCCAATTACTTAGACAAGCACCAACCTCATACCGCGAAATTATTATAGGAGTTGAACTTAAATTCAACTACAAAACCAAAGTGGCATGTGATCCTCAGAAAGCAATTACTTTTGAGGGAACTGTTGACCTGAAACTTAAATCTAAGGTGGGCATTCCTAGATATTCTTTTTTTCAATTCCTACTATTAGTTCACACTCTCTCTATGGATGGTGTTTTCAATAGAAATGTAAACAATAACAATCTCGAGCTCGGGACCTACTCTAGTTCCGGTTAAAAAGTTTGCAGCTGCTTACTACATGTTATTCTGATAGGCGATGTTTTCAAACGGATAATTTTGTTTTCAATAAAAGAAATAAACTAGATAATTTCTGAGCTTAAATCTGCCGTATTTCATAAGATATTAATGCTATTATGTAATTCTGGGGAGTTTGGAGTGAAAATGTGTTTTAGTTATTTTGTTATTTATTATTAAAAAAGGTGACATGGTTGCTAGATTTTGAATAACTCGCTTTTTTGGCAGTCTTGATTTGGCCTCTTTCCATTTGTTTATTACTGTTTGTTCGTGTTGCAAGCTGTGCACCATCTTACGTTAGTGTTAACACTTTTAGTATTGTAAACAGTATTGTTAGCATTGTAAACATAAGTAATAAGTAATCAAATGCATTGTTTGCAAGAATCTCAAAACACAATGATGCCAAATGGCTTTAAAATACAACTGAAACAGTAACCCGGAAATTTACGCAGTTCCGAGCTTGCAGCGCTCCCTAGTGTAGAAAACACCATCCATATCTTGCTCAAATTTTCAATCGTTAATGAAATACTTTTTATTCATCCACTTTAGTTCAAATACATTTTTTTTTAAACTTGCAATAGATGACACTTGATATTAATACAGTTTTCACAAATATTAATTTTTAAATTAAATTTAATTAATTAATTTTAGTTTTATATAAGAGAAAAAATTTTAATTATTTAATAAAAAGTAACTAAAATAAAAAATTTCTTTGACTTTAAAAAAAAAAAAATTATATTACTTGTTAGTCTTTCATCTTGACTTTTGTTTATTAAAAAAAATATTTACTAGGTGTTTTTCTTTTTTTTTTCTTTTCATTACGAAAACTTGCAAGATTTTCCTTTTTGTTTTTGTATAATAGGGTATTGCCTTTAAAGTTGGCGGCTTTTTCTACTTTTCAAAGCTTTTTGGGAAGAGATTATTTCAAAACAAACTTCTTTAAATCGACAGATTTCTGATCAATATTTGTTGTTTTCACGGCCTCAGTATTCCTTTCATTATTTTCAGGTTAAAAATAGCAAAATTATTTATGTTTTCTTTTCAACTAAATATTGAAAATAGAGAACATCACGCAAGATTTTTGAAGGGCAAATAATTCATTCATTTGGCATAAAAATAACAAAAAGTTGAAATGAAAATAACTTTAAGTAAGTAAAATTGTAATAAATTTATGTCCTTGTATCTTATTTGCTAGTAAATTGGAAATTAATATTTGTAAGTTGGACTAAATAAGTAGGGGGGGAAAATAACCTTAAAGTTTATTTTTATTCAGATGGTTGTTGTTGTTGTTGTTACTTTA